GCAACAGCCAGAATAATAACAATAACAATGAGACTGAAGCGCTGCTCGTCTATGAGCTGCTCAAGAGCTGTGCCAGCGACTGGCAGCAGGTGGAACAACGTGAGCCCCTGGCTGCTAAGCGTTTTCCCGTCATTCTGGTGGTGGATGAGGCAAGCTAGGCTCGCAGCATAGTCAGATATCAAACTCATAATGGTTGTTCTTTTTAGCGCCTGGATCATATGCATTGGGAGCAGCTGGCGCCCATGCAGGAGTGCACACGCATCAAATCGCTGCACAGCTTGTGGCGCTTGTTTAAATCCCACAAGGAGCAGATACAATGCGGCTACTATACGGTTAACATCAAGCGCGGCATAACGCTCATCAATCCCGATGCAGACTTAGCGAATTCGGGTCGCCGTCTGCGCAGCTTTCTCGAGTACTGGCTGACCCACTGGCAGCACATGTTTGAGACGGTGCCCACAGAGCAGTTTATGATTGACAAGGCATTCAAAGCCGATTGCTTTGTGTATGTGTAACCACATTATTTCGAACCTGGCAACCAACTGATCCAACGTTTTCTTGCAGCTATGCAGGTCACGGCTCGAGTCTGCAGTATGTTTCTAGTCGCTTGATTTATCGGAATCGCATCAAGGGCGTTGTGTTTCTGTTTGGCTGCGATTCGACGCGCGTGCTGAGCTCGGGTCTGTACAGCGCCTTATATGGCGCCCAGGACTATTACCATGGCGCACTGTGTCCCACTGTGGTTGGCACACTGATGCCCGCGCTAGACGGCAATATGGACAATGTGTCCGCCAATATGCTCAGCCAGTGGACAACGCCAGCCAATCCACAGATCATACCCTGGACGAACATAGATCGCCAGGCCTGGGTCTCGCAGGGCACTGTCAAAGGTAGAGTTAGAGAGCATACACAGGATTCACGCTAATTATTAAACCTAACTCTGCAGCACTGAAAGGCAACACTGAGACACTGGCCCAGCAGCCGGACTACCAAATCGGCAGCCTGTGCGCCATTTTGGCCAACGTTCAGATGGGCAAAACGGAGCCCAAAATCTACAATTGTTGCGTCTATGTGTGTCGCGGCTTGCCCGCCTGGAATTTAGCCGTGCAGCAGCTGCCTTTTTAGCCCAACTAGTCGTGATTAGGGTAAGGCTTAGCATATAAGTATAATCAAATATTTGTATTAACCTGACAAAAGCTCAACCAAAACTGAAATCAGACTTAATTATATATATAAACAGAGCCCAGCTTAATGTGTATTATTTTGATCAGAGTTTGAGATCTGAAATTACAACTCCTCTCCCCTCTCCACCACCCAATCCCCCTTTTATTAAAGATTTACCCTTTAGCTGCCATTTTTCACCCGCTTTGCATGTAAAAAGTGCTTAAAAATGTTGCATAAAAGATCAAACACAACACATAGAATCGCATAAGAGTTCAAATCTAAACATTTAGATAGTTAATAAAAATTGTGCCCTTTAACTTACCTTTTTTTTGGGGGTGCAATTTGTGTGAAGACTTATTTGAAGTTTCTTTTGATTTAGTTGTTTAATTTAATTTGGTTAAATATTTGTATCGTTGAGCACAGTAATTGTTTATGTTTTATCTCTTTTGTGTTATAATTGTGAGGTTTTTAGTTGAACTCAAGCATTATTATTATTTATTTTTGTACAAACTGTAGTTTAGCTTGTTGGAACATTCACCGTTTAGTATTGCATTATTTGTTACCGCCTTTTGAAGCATGCCACAATTTGAATACATAAATTGCCTGTGCAGAATTTAAAACAGAATCAAATGAATTACTGTGAGTGAAAGTTATCAAATATTTAGAACAAAATTAGCAATGGAAAAATGGAAAAGTGAGGTGCGTTGACAGTTAGATAGAGACTGCTTAGGATTACACAAAACAATTAGATTTATAATAAGAACAATTAGATTTATATAATTGAAAGAAGATATTGTGTAAATTCCAAAAGTAATCAGGAATTTTTTTAATTTCTTTTTTTAATTGGAAAACCAATCCTAAATTCTTTTGCTCGACTGCTAAAATCAATTTCTTACTGCACTGATCTATTTATTATCCCAGGCGCCCGACAGCCAAACCCAAGCCCAACCCATTTAAAGGCTAATGTATTAGCACGTAGCTCGACTTGGCTAGAAAACGCCCATCTATTTATTTACTTTACGCGCAACATCGTCGCATTTACTCGTGCTGAAGGGGTTAGGGGTTGGGGGGCTTGTTCTCTTTTGGCCAAGGGCTTTTTGATGCGAAAGAGTTTTTGGCCCTCAACCTCAACATGGAATTCACTTGACCTACTAACTGCCTGTCGCATTATGACATACATTTCATTAATTAGGCGCTGGCCAAGCAAAAACACACACACGAAAAAAAAAAGACAAAAAATGATCAACTCTATGGCGACGACCTTCGACCAATGCGGCGTATGCGTAATATTAGCATTTGCTCATCGAATTAGTGTCGCATATTTGCACGCTTAACACACAGACTCGCACACACACGCACACACACGCACACTACACACGCCCTGTGGCCACTAAAAATATTGTATCTGTATGTGCGAATGTGTCCCTATTAGATAGATATATATTTAAAGGATGGTTCGTCCTTCGTGTTAATGTCTCAATGCCGTGCCCATGGAGCGTTGCACAGTGTAGTAAATCATTTTAGCAGCAGCTAAAACTGAGGTGCATGCCACGCCCCCTCACACAAGAGCTCAAGCCAGGACAACACACACTCACACACACACACACACACACGCACACACATACAGATACAGGGCCCGCTCCTAAGCATTTGCCTGGCTGGACTTGTAACATGACAGGCGACAGCTTCAGAAACAGGATATTACATAACAGGCGCTGCCTTAACAGCAAGCGACATGTAAATGTGTGTGTGTACTGTTAACTGTGTGTGTGTGTGTGCTGCTTGTGTCTGTGTGCTGTTTGTGTGTGTGTGTGCTGTTTGTTGTGCTTTTGTTATTGTTCTTTTGATTTGAATTGCATTTGGTTTTTCTTTGAGCAGTTTCCTTTTTCGGGTCTCGATGCCTCATTTTGTTTGTGTTGATGCCTTGACACACGCACACATACACGTACATATACACACACACACACACACACACAAACACACACACATTGACTTACATTTGACTGTTTCATTTGGCATATTTCGTTGTACAAAAACGTTTGGTTTTCAAAAAAATTCAAAATCAAATTATATTTTTTTTTGCAACCTTGAACTATTTTTTTTTTTGCTTGTTTTACATTTGTTGTCGTTTTGTGTCCTTGTTTAATATTTATACAAAAAAAAACGAAGATTATTTTGCTTATTGTCTTACTTTAAATTGTGTTATTTTTGCAATTTGTTTTTTTAAGTTTTATATGCAAAAAATGTGTTACAAATGTTGTTAGAATTTTTGTTTTTGTTGCTGAAACGCTTTGTTAACTTTGGTTAAAATTCTTGTGGTTTAGTTATTGTTTTTTATATATTTATGTTTTTTTTTTAAATATTTTTTATTATTGTAAATTATTTGATTTTGTGGTTTGAATTGTGTTTGTATTTTATTGCTGTTGTTGGTTGTTAAATCCGCCGCGTTGCACACACACAACAATTCTCTGGCAGAGATAAACTGAGACTGAGCCTTAGACTGAAACTGAGACTGAGACTAGGCAATGCTCGCTGTCCTCGCGCCAAGGCAGTTGCATCCTTTTGGAGTCTGCCACAGAGCCGAGCACATCCTCAGCGAGGCCAGGCCCCAGCCACGCGCCAAAAAGAGAAGCGAACAATGTTGCAAAAATTATGGTGCGGCAACAACAACAACAACACGAGAGTGGCAACAACAGAAGCGCAGCAGCAGCGCAAAAATTTCAATCGCAAACCGCGACTAAAACAGCCGAAGGGATATTTCGCCCTCGCCCAGAGAGACAAACAGTGCGCTGAGAGCAAACTTGAGCGCAACTTTCACCTCTCGCGTGCGTGTCCTCGCACAATATCCTTATTGTTGTTGCCGCTGCCGCTGCCGTTGCCGCTTCCTCGGCCACTATTTCACTTTCACAGTTGCAAGCGGGGTTGAAGCTCAGGAATGTGTTACAATGATTCTGCGTTTTCATGGTGATTACATTGTTGTTGTTGTTATTGTTGTTGCCGCCAGGCCCCAAAGCTCCAAATTTTGTTATTGTGTGCACCACGTGACTGGCCAGAGCTTTCTTATCAATCAGCTCCCTCTGGGTGGGAGGGAGGTAGGCGGGTGTGTGTGCCTGTGTATGTGAAGCTCTCCAGGCACAGCTTTTTAGCTGCGGCAATAAAATATAAAATTATCTGAAATTAATCTACAACTAAAGCCAACAAACAAAAATTAAAGAAAATTAAAAATTTTGTAAAATATTAAAATTGCTTGGTAAAAATCCTTTCAAGCAGCTGCAACAATTATTAAAGCTTTTGCTCTTGCATTTATCAACAGCTAAATTGCAAGGATTATTTAAATTATTTTACATTTTTGTTGCTCAATTTGAAGGCTTTCTCACCTTAGCTAAATTTAGCTACTTTTAAATTTACAATTTTAGAAATTTATTTTATATTGATTATTGGTAAAAAATAAAAAAGAAAGCGACATAAAAAATATGCTGGCATGGTTAATTTTTAGGCCAAAAATCATGCCGAAAATGACAACAAAATTTGTACTCTCGCATTGCTCTTGCTAGTGTTTAAGCATTATTACTTAAGCCTAATCATTAAATGGCCTTTAGTTATTCTTTTGAACAGTAATTTAATCGCTATCACTTAACTATAGTTTAGGCGCCTGCACCGCCTACTTCGTGGCGCCCCAAAACTGTTTAATATCTAGTTTCGCATAAGAAAATGACTGCACTTATACGAGGCTGTGGGTTGTACGTGAGGTATTTCTTTGATTTGATGCATTTTGTACGTTGTTGTTAGGTGTATTTTTTACAAGTTTTGAACTTCAAATATGCCCCATCGTTGCGCTAGGGAGCTGCTGCTGCTGCTGCTGCTGCAGAGCTAGCCTCAGCTGCCTCTTCGCTGGCAATGCTTTTGCTGCGCCTGCTGGTTCGTGTCTGTGGAAGAATGTGAAATTAGCTAGACTCTCACTTGCCACCACACCACAAAACATGGTGTATTTGCGTGTAACTCACCACCGCGGCGCTGCGATGCGGGCAATCGGCATGCAGATGGTCCTCGCTGCGGCAGCGATGGCAGCGCTTCGGCTGCGGCCCTATCGCGCACTCCGATGCAATATGATTGGCGAATTCGCCGCAATTGTAGCAGCGCATGCGGCGAGTTTTTCTATTGCTGCGAATTGAGTTGAATACGGCTTAGATTTAAGTTTGCGGCCTGTGCAAATGCCACTTACATGCGCGGCCGATAGGTGCTGCCGTGACAATCATCGCCCTGCCGTCCCGAGACACGTGTCGCCTCCAGGCCGCGTGCCGTGCGCTGGCACTCGAACTCCACCTCCTCCTGCTCGCCCAGCGAACGAAAGCCGGCCATTTGTATGACACTCTGTGTGTGTGGCAACATTTGAGTGACATTAAGTGTGTGTGTGGGTGTGTGTGTTTACTCACCTGATGCACAAAAACCTCCTGGCCGCCATCGTTGGGCGTTAGAAAGCCCCAGCCCTTGGCCACGTTAAACCATTTGCATTTGCCCAGACGCACACAGCCGCATTCCTCGCCGGGCGAAGCTGTAAGCACACACATATACACATACATATATAAAGGATGGTGAATCAAGCATTTGAGTGGCAACAGGGCCTCAGCTATCCTGAATATCCTGCCTGGGCATTGCTGCAATTGTCTTTTGTTATTCAAATTGAGCAGCAGCTGAACAACTTTTATGCCTGGCCGTGTCCTTGTCCCATTTGCCGCAAGCCAATGCTCAAGACAACCAAACCGAAAACTCTGCCACGGCAACAGCAACAACAACAACAAGAACAACAACAATTGGAAAACAGGTTTCGTTGTTTTTAATAAGAATATATTTATTATATATTTTTTCTTTTGGATTGAATTGAATTGAATGCTTGGGAGCTGTTGTTGTTCCACTTTTTATTTCTTTATCTACGAAATGCGCGAGTTTCATCTATAAGCACTCACACACTCACACGCACACACACACACGCACACGCGTGCGTTTCATTCATTTGCTGCGTTCATTCATAATTTGGTATTTCGATTGCGTTCCATTTTCGGCCGCTTATCTTTTGGTTTGCGTTTGTCTCGTAGTATCTGACAGATACATAGATACTGCCACGCACTGCAATGCATGCACGCTGGCTGATAGCTCTTATCTGAAAAGCCTATACATACATATATACATATATATGTGTGTAGTGTTTGTGATTTTCTTGAGGGTTGTTGCTGCCGGACCTTAAGAGTGTTTTGTTTGTCTTATTGAAACATTTTCTGCTTCATTAAGAATTTTGTTGTGAATATTTCAATTGAAGAGGAGTTTTTGGATATTGATTGAGGGCAATAACACAAGATATTATTTGGGTAATCAAGATATTAATTAGTTGCTTTTATAAAGTTTTTATAGCTCATTTTGGCAGCAACTTGAGAACGTTTTTAGTGAGATCTTATAGCTAACTTGATAGAATTTATAGATTTTCTAATGCAACTCGTTTAAAATTAAGTTAATATATATAAATATATTTCTTATATTAAAGATATATTTTGCTGATGTAACATAGTTTCCATAGCTGTATAAATATATAAAATGTATATCAAATATAGTCATCATGGAACGCACAATTCTATGATACATCTTTGGCGGCGACTTTCCCATTGTAAAATCTCTCAATTAGTTTAAAAATATATGCAAGATCTTTAACAAAAACTACCACCATATGCCTGAATGACTTCTAATGTTCGGGGAAACGCGCCTATTTCCCTATTAACGTCTTATTTTTCTGGGCAACTCACTGAAGTATGAAAAAGAAGCGCCCAAATTTGCTTACACAATTTGTAAGACGATAAACTTGTTTTGTAACTTAAAAAAAAACTTGTAAATTGGAGAGAAACGCCAAAAAAAAGTTATTAAAATAATGCAGTCAAGTAAAATGCCTAAGCCGGAAAAATCTATGAGAAATGTGCAGAAAATGTTGCCCACAGAGCAGGCAGGGGAGAAGAGGGCGGTTTCTGCACATTTTCCGCTGCATTCAGCGGGGTGTGGGCTGTAGGCAGTGGGGTGGGGGGAGTGAATGCGTTTCGATTTGCAAGCATTTGAGGGTTGATCTGCGTTCGCCCCTAAGCCGAGCTGCCTGAGCATATATAAAATAAAGCAAAAAACAGTTTGCCAATAAAAAAGTCGAATGCCAAAAGCAAAACAGAAATGCGGAAAACAAATATAAAGAACTGCGCAGTACATAACAAAACGAAACGAAAATAACAAAAAAACAAGCGATCGCTGCGGCCAATCAGCGTCGAGTTTGATAAGATTTCGTTTTTTATAGAGCAGCAGCCACATAAACAAAAGTGAAACTTGTTTTTTGCTTTGGCCTTACATGTTTTGGATACGCACTGTTTCTTATTTGGGAGTCTGTGCGGGAAAGGGGGGCTACAGAGAGGGGTGGGGTGGGTGATATTTAATACCTGGCGCTGTGCCTGGCGAGGAGCTGTTCCTGGCGCCGCCTTCAGCTGCTGGCTCGCTGCTTAAATTTTGATTTTCCATGCTGTTTTGCTGTAGATTTCAATTTTGTTTGGCTTCAATTCTCGGTATTGCTTATGAGTGTGTGTTGTGTGTCAACTGCTGCATATTTCCGCTGCCCACACTATTAAACACCAAAATATACACAAACGCACACACGCATAAATGCAGTTACAGATACATGCACGGACGCACGCACATGCGACGTAAACGAAACGAAACGGAATGGAAATGAAACGAAACAAAACTCGGAAAACGAACTCGATTGAAAAACGCTGCCGCTGCGCACGACGCACTTCGTCAAACTGAATTGTGAGTTGCGTTTTACTATTTCTAGGAAGGTCACAGTGCCTGAAACACACACTCACACACACACACACACACACGCTCACACACACATGCGCGCTCGCACAAGAGACAGCCCGAAATTGTAGCTGTATCTTCAAAAACAATATTCAAACACGGCCACGACGCACAAGATATGTGTGCGTGTGTGCGAGCGTGACAGCAATAGCCAAGTGTGAGTGTGTGTGTGCGTGTGTGTGGAAAAACATTTGAGTCGAGTCGTGGTGAGCATTGAACGTAACAAACGTAAATGTATCTGACAGATACTTTACGTAGCGATCGCGCAGAGAGCGAGACAGCGAAAGAGCGCAAGAGGCAGAGGCATAGTCAGAGCGGAGCACGCACTTCGAGCACTTTAATTTGTGCGTGTTTTTTTTTGGTTTCTACTTTGTTATCTGCGGTTTTTAGATACAAATTTTGGAACTGTACGCACCGCATGCGTGACATGTATCTGAAGATCCGTATGTCGTACAGGCTGGCATACTGTTATACACCACGAGACTGTTATACACCACGAGTTGATGGTCTGTATTCTGATAGGTTGAGTGCTTAAAAAACAGGCAGACATCTGATTGGTGCCACAAAAAATTGCATAAAAAACTGCAGAACAAGCCGCACACGCAGACAGACATCGCATTGTTCCGATTTGCCACCCCAAAATGAATGCTGCAGATTATGCACACAAATTGCTAATGTCGCGTGGCAACGCGTTTTTACCCTCGTGCAGCATCATTGTGCAACATTTTGCGAATGTCTTTCCAGGCCATGGATGCAATTTATCATGGCACGTGCCTCGCTCCTGCCGCTATGTGGCATGCCAAATCGTCGGCCAATGCCGCAAAATGCTTGACGACAGCCGAGCGCAGGGCGGGTGCCCGGACCCGCACTGCCGAGGGTGAGAGGCTGCACACATATAGAACACAGATTTACGAGACAAGGGGCGAAACCAAGAACAATTTTATATAAGCATGAGTAGCAAATGTGACAGCGCCGAGCTTGAAATGGAGATGCTTACGAAACGCTATGCTTTTCATTTTAAGCAACAATAGCACGTTATCTAACTTATATGTAGTTAAAGAAGACAACTCGTGCCGTGTGGATTATTAGCCAATATATGCTATCTATTTCAATATATATATTTATTTTAAATGGAAAGTTTTAATACGTACCATAAGTTGTGTTGAATAATAAGAATCATTTTATTGCTCTAGTTTGCTCCATTGAAACCTTGGAAAATGTTGCCACAGCCATCACCTCCTTTTTTTTATAAAAGCAGTATCCTTCGTTTTTTAAGATACTTATTCCTCCTTGCTGAAGGCAGCGTTCGGTATAGAGGGTCTACATAAATTATTGAGAATCGCATAGTAGGGCGTTGCTTAAATCACAGCGAAAAATAAACGTAAGCTTGCATTCCATCATACACATATTACATAACTTACATATTCAATAATACGACTCCTCCGTTATTAAAGGTGTTTAATTGCAACATGCCCTGCCTTGACATTGTGGGGGGGTACTGGAATTCATGAAAATCGCATAGTACGGCATTCGTCAAAATTACTTCTATATATATATATATGCAGCGCATCGAGAGTTAAGCTTATCAGATATGCATACAAACCTACACATACATAAATACAAATATCCTCCTCTATTATTAAAGTCGTCGCCGACTCCTCCGTTATTGAAGGCGTAGATTCCGCCCCGTTTCCGCCTCATTTTTAATATGAAGGGCCAACTTGAATTCATGAGAATTGCATAGTACGGCATTTGTTAAAATTACTTATTTAAATAAGCAGCACACCAAGAAATATTCTTAGTCTGGCTTGCATACAAGCATACACACGTACATATATAAATAATGATTTCTATATATGTATCTGTATATTTTAAACGGAAAATTTCAACACGTACCATAAGTTGAGTTGAATAATAAAAACCAAAATCACCTCCTGGTCGAAGCCGCATTGCTTCCATGTGAATTTATGAAAATCGCCCAAGTTTTACATACTTATTCAAATCGCTTCGCTGAACGGCCAGCTCTCTCCAAGTCAAAGCAGAAACAGACTTCCATATGAGCAGCCTACTTGCATTTATGAGAAAAGCATAGGCCGGCATTATTTAAATCGCCTCGCTGAAAGGCCCGCCTTCTCTTAGTCAAAGCAGCTGCTTTATAATTGAAGCCGCCGCCTCCTTCTAGTCGAAGCCGCGGAGTCCTCCTGTTCAAAGCAGCCGCCTCCTCTTAGTCGAAGCCGCCGATTCCTCCTAGTCCAAGCCACCGTTTCCTCCATGTTGGAGCCGCCGATTCTGCCTAGCCTCCTCTTGGTCAAAGCAGTCGCCTCCTCCTAGTCGAAACCGCCGCTTCCTCCTTTTCAGGCAGCCGCCTCCTCTTGTTGAAGCCGCAGCCTCCGCCTTGTGAAATTCAGTCTTCAGCATGAGGGGCCTACTTGAATTCATGAGAATCGAGTAGTACGGCGTTCATCAAAAACACGTTTTTTTTAAATATGCACCATACTATGAAGTAATTTTGGTCATGCATATATACATATAAGCATACCTCCATACATACACACATACATACATACATACATGCAGACATTCACACATACATACACTTACACATACATTCATATGCATACAAGCATACATATGAACTTTTGTGTTCATACATACAAGCATACGAACATGTACATACTTACAGGCAAACAAACAAACATTGATACATACATTTACATTCATGAACAAACGTATACACAAGTACACACAAACTTATATATATTATCGTACATGTTCACTCACATATATTCGCATACATATATACTAACATGCATTCATATATATTCATACATTTATACGTTTGTATAATGTATGTATACATGCATACATAAATGCATACATACATTCACACATACATAGATACATAAATACATGCATTCATACATACATACATACATACATACATAAATACATAAATACATACATACATACACACATACATACATACGTATATACATACGTACATTCATACATACATACATACACACACTTATACATTCATACAGAAACATACATACGTACGTATGTACATACATACGTACATACATACATACGTACATACATACACACACACATACATTCATACATAAACATACATACATACGTACGTACATACATACGTTCATACATACATACGTACATACATACACACACACATACATACATACGTACATACATTCATACAAATACATACACACACATGCATTCGTACATGCAAACATGCGTTGACGCTTATAGGCATGTCATAAACATATTCGTGCATACCTAAGGAAACATGCACACATACACATGCGCACATACAGAGAAGTGAAGCAAGCTTGGTCTGCGAGTGGCATAAAAGAACATACATATCGGCCATTACCGGCATTGCTGGTGCCTTCTACTTTGAATCGTCCTTGGTGCTCAGCGGGGTTGGTCACGTGGCTGCTTAAAAATTAGATTGAATACGAATAAACATTATTATATATTTCCATCGACAGACATTTAAATAAATACTAAAATATTTTATGTATATGACAGTCTTTAAAGTGAACTTCCAATTATTCTTTATTTTACCTTGCGCATGTAGACAAGATATGGTTTTTTTTTGAAACCAGAGCAGGACTTTGCCCTCAACTGGCTGCTGTGAGGTCAGGCTTGGGTCAGTTTGATTTTTATCTTTAATAAATGCATACAACACATACAAACAACAGCAGCAACAACAACACAAAACAAAATCAGAGCAGCAAAAAAAATATAGCCGTTGGCTCAAAGGGGCCTGTGTAATCAATATTTTGCCGACAGCAGAGTCCTTTGGCTTGTGCCCGAGATTCTGCGCCTGTGTGTGTTTATGTGTGTGTGTGTGTGCTTGTGTGCGAGTGTCCAAAAGACTGGACGCCTGCGAGCACAATGGCTGAAATGGAAAGTGCCCATTAGGGGATACGAACCACTCACATGCGCATAATTGGAACAGGATTAACAAGGCAGCCGCACATCAATGAATGCAATTGCAACAGCGAGCAGCGGTTCCATTGTCCGGCCGGCCTTTTGGGTCCGCTTGATCGGACATGCATTTCCGGACATGCATTCCACACACACACTCACACACAAAGAGCGCGCGCACACAATGCGCTGAAAATAATCCGCTTTAAGTCTATAAAAACGTTGCCAAACAAAAATTTGGAAAATTCGAGCAATGAAAACTCTATGCAAAATCGTAATCAGAAAATATACAGAAAAAAATGCTGCAAGTTGCATGCAAAGTGGTTGCAACTGGCGGGTGGCAGGGGAGGCCGGGGAGGCAGCGCCGCAGCGTTTCATTTCAGCGGATGTCCCGCTGCACGCGTTTGACCCGCCCGGCACCTCGTGTCGGGGCTGTGTGATTATCGACAATCTCTCTATTTTTATATATTTTTTTTTTTGCTCTTGTTGTCGGTGTCCTTTTTTATGCGAGAGCGCACACGATTTGCATGTTCAGCAGGAGGCCGGCTTATTATTACAGTCCACAATAAGCATTCAAGTATCCCACTTTCCCTCTTGATTGACATGTGATTGATGTTTCCATTTTGCAGTGACAGCCCATCGACCTACGGAAAACGGAAGCCAAAGGCAAGTACAATTGGCATAGAAACTCTTAAGCAAGCCTATATTGAGAGCAACTAATTTTTATAATTTGTTGAATTATTAGGTTTAAACCGATATCTGGCTCGAAGTTCTTACTATAAGCCCATAAGATTTCTTGGGACTGCTAAATGACTGACTAAAATTACGTTAAGCTTTTAATATTTTCAGTACAACGGGCACAATTTAGAAAATATATGAGAAACTAAGGTTCGAACCGAATTCTGGTTCGAACTTCAAGCCGATAATATGGCTTGGACTTGCAGTCTGTAAAGAAAA